GGTTATCCATTCCTCAGTTGTTGGACATCTAGGTTGTTTCCAAGTTTTGGCTATTGTAAATAGTGCTGCGATGAACATCGGCGTGCATATATCAGATGTAATTTTTAAGACCAATTCTGAAAAACAATTGTTAAAGTAACAAATTTATAGTGGACATTAAAATATTCAGTAATTAATATTATTAAATTATAATTTATATTATCAAGTTGCTTTTAGTACATTTCAATAAAATAAAACCAGGTCTATACCCACAAGATTTACTTAGTGAAAATATTCAATATATGAAGTAACATGTTCAGTTGCTATAAAAAATGGTCACGTTTTTTTCTCCCAAAGCTAGTTTAGCCTATTTAAACAGTTACTTTGTTTAAACTTATTTAATGAAGTGTTTATTGGTCTCATACCACAAAAACAAAGAAAAAGGAATAAAATGATCTACAAGTATTCCATTTTGTAATAACCATTCATTTTACCTTCAAGTCTCATCTACCTAAACCACTGCACTTTTGTTCTTCAGTGATTTATAACGTCAAATACCAAATTTCTACATCAACTCTTAGTTATCCTAATTATCAAAAGAAAAATCCAGGTTCTGTCCATTTAGCTTCAACTCAAGTAAACCCTGTATGTGTCAGAGTAGAACTGTGCTCTATAGGGTTTTCCAGGGCTGATGATTTTTTTTTTTTTTTAAAGCAGATCAACAAGTTTTTCTTCTGAGGCACCTGAGCTGATTCAAACAGCCAAACTTTCAGTTAGTATCCGAGCCGGAAACCTTTTGTGCCGCCCAGAAACTCGTAATTATCCTAATATAATTCTTAATATCATCACACAGAAAGCAAACAAAAGAATTTAAATAAATAAATAAATCCATATGTGCTGCATTTATATGCACTTAAGTTTATATCCATCATGTAGGGATTGTAGGAACTTTAAATGAGTCTATGTTGAATATTTCACCTTTTGATGTATCTTAATGTTATTCACTCTGTTAAATAGCTTGCTTCCTTACATCACACTGTTTATAAACACAATTTTAAGTTCCAGAGAGAATTATCCATGCATGCAGCTTTTTAATTAAAGGAAAACAAATATATTAGTAAATTTTTTTTCAAGAGATAACACTTGAAAGGCAACTTTTAATTACTCTCTACCCAGTTTCTTCCTCAGCTGAAAAATCTGGAATCAGAATGAATGCTGGAAACAAGCTAACAGTTGAAAGAAGTTGTTAATCATATCACTGATCATGCCAAATGCCTAGGGAGGGGAGAGAGAGAAGGATTGTATATTCTCAATATTACTTAATAACAGCACTGTTTTTATACTCATAAAAAAATGGAAATCAAGGTTTTTCTCTCTCCCCTTTTCTCTCTCATCCTTATATCTTGGGAGCCCTTATTCCTTATGGGTGGTGTAAACTCAGATTGCCTGTGAGTGTCTACTTCATAATTTCTAACACTCTATTGGTGCTCTGCCCTCTCACTTGATGCTCTGCCTCATGGCTTGCTGTCTCTCTGTGTTTCAGACAACATCCACTGCAGTGCCTAGCACATGGATTTCAGGACTACTTGTGAAGAGGTAGGTTCAATAGCCTTCTACTTCTCAAATGAGGGAAGCAGCATGCATACAGAAATATGTGGTCTCACTTCATATAGTTTAGACAGTACTTTGGGCAGAAGGATGCATGATAATTTCATATCATTTTAGAGGAAGACCTATTTTGATAAGACTGAAAAACCAGAGTGCCTGGAGAAGCTTCTAGTTTTAGTTCTTCCTTAAGCAGAAGCCTGCAGTAAATTTGATCTGACTGAGTTGTTCCTCACTACAAGCTATGTACTGTATGATTTCAGGTACTGAAATAGGAGTCATTTTTGTCACATAAATAGTTATAGTAGAAGATATTTAAGGTCCCTTTCAACAGTAAAGTCATGTGATTTTACAAGCCCAATATTATTTTAGTATTTAATATCATTTAAGTATTAACATGACAGTTCAGATCCTTTCCAGAGCCATTGTCAGATTTTGGTATGAGTTGGAAACTGATGCATTCCTCTTCAGGGATGTTAAAGGCTGTTGAAATGTGCAGTTCACCAGTGCATGGGTGTGGGTCCCATGGAATATAATCTGTCTATTTTAAGGGAAAAAAAAAGACTTTTTTTTTATTATTATTATTAAACATGCAACATTCAAAGCATTGTCTTGCTATTCTTCAGGTAAAATTGAAATATTCATAGGTTAAAAATATCTTGTTTCTGCTTAAAAGTTTAGAATACTTTTTCTTTTTTTTTTGTATAAATAGCCCAGTGAAAGTATAATAACAATCATATTATCTGTGTTAGAGTTAAAAATAAAGAACAACTTCAGTTCCTAACATTTGTGAAAATTGTTCTTTCAGTGAAATGTCGTGTGTTTAATTTTAGTTTTTACACATTTGTGAAAAACAATCATTATTTTCCTCTATGTTAATTACAAAAACATTACTATTTAAAAATTTATCACAGTTGGAACAAAGTTTAGAATGTATTCAAATCCTTTCTTAGACAATTCATGTTGCTTTTAACTTTCAATCCTTCAAATTCCTATTCATTAAAAATTTTAAGTATGATAATTCCTCAAGTATATCTCTATTCCAGAACTTTTCAATTACATTATAGTTATTTATTTACAAGTTTTCTTGTACTTCTAGACTGAATACCATGAGGTCAGAATGTATGACTTATTCACCTTTTTAATTCAGCATCTATCAGTTTATCATTAATAATAATAATAATAATGTTTTAGAAGCTTTTCATACTGATTTAAGCTTAAATATTAATTCTGGCTCATTTGCAGTTTTAACTGGATATGTCATATTCTTTTTTTGAGTATAGCAGGAATTGCATTTCTATCAAGGTGCTTTCATATGTTCTGGGTTGTAACACATTCATAAAACTGAATGGATATTTGTGAGAATGAGGCACCATTGTGATTCACTTAATGAAGATGATACTAGCCAATGCTATTTAACAAATGGCTTACTATGGATACCAAAGGGTAACCTACAGTAGTTTTCCCAGATTTTTTTTTTCTTTAACGGAATTCTTTTAAATCATTGATTTTGTGTGCATATTAAGGATCAAAAGATTAAGTTGATGATGGCTATACAATTTGAACCTTGTTATTCTTTGTTTCAGTGGTAGAAGGTGTTAGTTTGCTAGTTGCTTTGAAAATCTCAACCCTTTTAGTTTTTGCCCATACTACAGAGTAAAACTCTCTCAAAATTATCTAGCAACAGTGCCCATATGTCCTGCCAGGAATACAGGTCTCCACAATGCACTGAAGATTATGAAACCTCTCAGAAGATGAATTAGAATCAATGCACATTTTGAAAATATACAGTATTAAAACATTTAAGTTGAGAGAACCATAAAGACAATTTAGCCAAATTTGTCATTTAGCAGGTGAAATAATTGAGAATTTTCATGGAAGGTCAAATGGCATTTAGTTAATGGGCTAAAAGGTGAGCCATATGTACCTTGGAAATACTGATTACAAGTTTTGGTCTCTTTCTAATGAACTTAATTGCTGGAAATTATGTCATCATCATAGATCAAATTATGTATCAATGATACACTCAATCAAACTAATTTTTTATTGATTTCCAATTAAGGTATTGTTATGCAGCACGTTTCTCTCTATACATGTTATTTCTGGCCCTAGGTTTATAGTTCTGCCAGGATAATTTATTAGGCCACAATCTCACAAAGGGATTGGGCAGTTTACTAGGCAAATAAGGTGACTATAGCCTACCTAGGAAATTGGTCAGTTTTGCCATCCTTCTAGGCTTCAAAGGGGCTAATCCCAGAGAGCTTGAGAGTAGATTATCAAGGAGAAGAACCTGAAAAGGAGTACATCCTTTGGACCCAAGTTTCCTGTGCTGAGAATTTCCTAGACTCAAGAGACAGAGAGAGTTGTAGCACTGGAGACAATATGAGCCAGCACAAGAAGGTATGAGCAGCTTTGGGCAGGAGGCTTGTTGGTGGAATGACATTAGGCACCTGATGGTAGAGTCCAAAGAACTGTAACAGGGCCAGGGCCCAGGACCTGACCAGCAATAAAGAATAGACTGGGGCAACCTTACAGCCACAGATGAAAAATGTGGCCTGCTTGCAGACATACCCAAGAAGATGTTGAGAGAAGTCTTGGTTGGAAGCTGTCCTGATTGACTATCTTGTCACCTGAGTCATTCCTGTTACTTCCAAGCTGAACTTAATCTCAAATTGTAGCCTTTTACTTCTGTAATAAACTTCCTAATTGTAAGTATGGTCTGTGAGTTTTGTGTGTTCATGGCAACGAATTATCAAACTCAGCACAGAAGTGGAGAGAGAATTGGTAAAAAGTTTGAAGAGTGGACGTATGTCTGACCATCACCTATAAGAGTCAACTTTGTGCTGATGATGGCTATTCTCTCACCTTCTCTTGAAAGTTAGAAGACTTCTGATGGCACTATATTATAGCTATAGAGATGTACATTGACAAATCCAATTAGATTATCACAGTGTTAATATCTGGGGGCCTCTTTATTTTATTTAAAGAAAACAGAAGAAACATGCCCAGATAACTTCCCTTAAAAGCACATAAAAGTATCTGATGCAAATCTTTCTTACAAGAAAAGTTTCTTTATTGTCTTAACAAAGTTAAGAACAAAGTTCTCTCCTTTAAAAATAAATATGTTGCAAGTCTTTTAAATAATTGAGACTTAGAAGTATAACAAGAAGCACAAATGGATTTTCAAAAGGGAGTCTTGCCAGTGAGCAACATGCTTTTTCCCTCTGGCATCTAAGGACTTGGAAAACTAGGTTTGAATTAGGAACCTTGGGGCTCTGAACAGCTCACTGAATCAGAGTGCACCAAACACAGAAGAGAAGAATTAGAGAAAAAGCACATGGAGATTATTTAGGAAAGAGCTACTTGTGGAGGATGGATGGGCACACGAGGGAGGCCATTGGAAACTTCTCTGGAGCAGTCACTGTCTGCCAGGTGAGGGTGGCCACCTGAGATCCCTGAGCCAAGAAGGAAGATACCTTATAGCAGCATACCAGCAACCACTCTAATATTCCAGCGGGCAGTGGCAGAGACCTACCTCCAGTAGCTGATTTTGTCAGTAATTTGGGTCATCTGGGTGTAGACAGGCATGGGAACCACTGCTGAGATTCAGGCAGAGAACTCACTGTTGTACCAGGAAGGCTAGCTCCCTCCCCTCCCAGGGGGTCACAGAGTGGGCTTGAGTCAGACTGGGAGATATTGTGCTTTTCTTTGTCACAGATATCAGGACAACAGGTCACTAGCAGGTACTCCCCCAACTCCAACACAGCTGAAATTGTGTACATCGTTGGCAATGTAGGTGGGCGATATCACAAACTCCAGAGTTGGCCATTAGCGGTATGACAGGATTCCGTCAGCACTGAGGGCAGACAGGGCAGGGAGAATGAAGAAACTGCAGCTGAGTGTGGTCCTGGAATTTTGTTTTGGAGCCATTCTTTGGTGCTGTGGGGCCACAGAGGTGGGGTCTTTGAGTGTGCCTGAAATTGGCAGAAAGTTGCGACACCCTAACAATAGGAATCTTTCCTGAGGTTGAGCTGCAGTCTTGCAAATAAATATGTCATCAATAATAGCCTGTTCAAAGCCCTAGAAAACGACCCTAGCAACACCAAGCTTTCCTTCTTCTGCTCCCACCTTCTCCGCCAATAACTTCTCATTGAGTAGAAGAAACCATATTCAGCCAATTACCATAAAACCTCCCACTTCAAACTCTAAACCCTCTTTATGACAAACAGAAACACATATCCACACTACACACAATTATTCCACCATTACAAAGCAAACAGCAGAATGACCCAACACACCTGAATCAATAAGAAAATAAAACATGCCAGATTCATCTTTTCAAAATATTAAACCATAAAACCAAGACAAAAGAAATCAACACATAACCAACAGTTAGAGACAACCTAAAGACTGTGATCTACCAGATTCCAGGGGCTTAAGAAGAGGTTCTGCTTTCCAGTAACCCCAATAACTCTCTGGAACTGCACTACACAACTGAAAAGTTCCTAGTTTACACCTACTTTTTTTTTTTTCTCTTGAGTTTAACTCCACCCCTTTTTAGTTGTTGTTTGCATATTTATTTTTGCTCTTTTTTTTCTGTTTGTTAGTTTGTTATCTTTCTTCAATACTCTCCTTCTCTCTTTTTTTTCTCTTAGTAACCTATCCCCAGAAATTGCATATTTGCCTGTTTTCTTCTTCTTTTCTCCACTTTTTCTTTTATTGGATTACTGTTCCTGTGTGATTTCAGGGTGTATTTTTTGTCCATGTGCTTTTAGTTTTTCCAGTGGTTATTCAGTTGTAATTTTTGCCTAACTGAATGGGAGACAGCAACAGTCCCCACAAGAGTCTGAATCACCCTTGGCTGCTCTTCACAAACAATTAACAGAGATCTTAGTAAAATACAATGATGCCTCAGAGACAAAAGACCATCACCATCCACACAAAGAAGCAAGATAAACTGGTAGAAACAAGGGAACAGGATACAGACCCAG